AATCAAAAAGTATCATCCGTGGGGGCGAGATTTTTACTTGTGTAGCTCGATTTTGACCCAGAACAAACACAGAACGGCCCCAAATCGGCCCGGAACCGACCCGTGGGCCCGTCTGCCGCACCCAGCTCCGCCGGGAGGGCGCGCGCCGTTCCCCGCGGGTCGGGCGGGCCACGCAGACACAGCGGGAGAGCTTCCCGTGCCCTGTGAGTGCCGTCACACCGCCTCAAATAGGTCCCAAAGTGGGGTTTGCTTCAAGTGATATGCGCATATGGCATATGGAAAATGGCTCTATGATGAGAGCTCGAGGGCTCGAGCTACAAGAGGGAAGATAGGCTAGAGCGGGAAGCTTCGTCCTTCGACCGCGGGAGTCCTTTTTTTGAGTCCTGAGAGGATGGTTGAAAATTTTTGCTGAAAAGACCCCCAGGCCACACCAGCTCCGTTTCACAGCAACAACTCGCATCGGCTCGCCGACTCAGACTCGCAAGCGCGGTGATGCGAAACACGTGCTTCGCGCCTCGCGGCCTCCGAGCCGGCCCCTCCTCTCCTGTAGGCACGCAGCAGGCGAGCGCGGCAGAGCAATATGGCGGTCTTCTACGTCGTGCGGCCCCCCGGCCCCGCCGAGAGTCAGTGTAGCGTCATGTCCGTGGGCGTCCTTGGGCCTTCAAGCCGAAGCAACAGGTGTTTCGCTCGCGGGTTTGGCTGGCGCCGCTGGCTTGGACAGGTCGTGCACGCCAAAGACCGAGTTGAGCTGCTGCGTGACGCGGATGAAGGTGGTTCGCCGCGGCATCTCCTTGATGGTGGCGGCCCCTAGGGCGGGAGGGCGGGGGGACGGGGGGGGGGGGGGGGGGGTTCCGCCTCCGGAAGCTGGGCGGTGCCCTGGGGACCGGCGGGGGCCCCTCCCCCAAGTACCTGCCCCCGGAACGGAAGCCCCCCAAAAGGGCGAGGAAGAAAACGTCCACCGGCCCCCGGGAAGGGACCTCCACCGTCTTGCCCTCCCTCGAAGGGGAATTGGGGAACCCCCCGGAGGGGTTTCCCCTCCCCCCCCAACTGGAAATGCCCAAAAAATGCTTGGAATGGTTGGCCCCCCCCTCGACCAGGGGGGCGGGGGAATCTTCCGTGCCCCCGAAAATTCCCCCCATTATGAAAAAAT